AAAATTTTTTATTTCAAAGATAGTTGTAGTTCAAATTTCTTGACTAGTTAGTTGTTATGTGATTTTATAATGCTTCATTGATAAGATCTCTTGGAGGTATAAAAATAGTTGGGCAATGGTTTGAGAAGCGTTGTTTGACCATTTATTTGAAGTGTTGCTATTTATCTTTGTGTGTGTATGTATTTGTTGTCTATTATTTTCTTCATAGGTTTGACAATATACTGTGTGTGAGATTGTTTGAGTTTTTTGGGTAGCATTAAATGATTGGAAATTCCTCTTTGGTTCTACAAATTAATGAACATGTGAAGAGAATTAGATGCAAGGAGGTAATTTATTAAGGAATTTATTCATTTATCAATATTTTCCTCTAAAAATTGACAACATAATAATATAAATTATATTTTTATAGGTTATCGACAGAGGATAGATGGTGTATTAAGAGAGACCTTTTTTCTATTGCATTGGGAGAGAGCATTTTTTTAGTTCAATTATGTATTGATAATTTTGATAGGTATTTATAAAAACTTCAGCTACCATATACTTGTAAAGGCTTTTTTTTTTCTTTTTATGGATATTGAAATATTTTTATTTGTAATTATGGATGATCCATGATTATAATTTTTAGTTGTTTATTTACATTTTTTGTGGTAGTTGAAGTCTACAGAAAATGTGTACGTTTATGCATGCACAGGTTTAGTATAATTGTCGAAGCAAATACTTTTTGCATCGGCAAATTGTCAACTCAAAAGCCAATTTTTCTTGTAGTGAGCTTTGGCCTGGTTGAGGTAGCTACCCCTTTTCTTCCTCATGTTCAATTTCATAATTAAATCATGTGTTTTCCACCACCTTATGGCTCAATGGATAAGTCAAGTATGTCTTATTTTAGTCTCTAAAATCTATTTAACTTGCTTTGGTCATTCTTTTTTGTTTGCAGTACGAGAAAGTGGATGTACATAGGATTTCTTGTACAATGTTTGAGATAGTAGTAGTTTAACCAGCACTTGAAAGATGATTGTGGATGCTTAGCTCTACTAATTTGTCACACACAAAACAAGGTTAGACTGGATGTCGTAATGTCTTCGATGAATCCCCTTCGATGCTAAATTCAGGTTTCTGAGGATGGAAGTGAAATACAAGGTTATTGCTTGGTTTAAATTGCATAACTTTGCCCATTGGGTTAGACTTCTATTTATACTTTCAAGGAATGACCACTGAGCTTTGTTTGGCCATTCAAACCTCTCTATTAGTAGGAAAATTTTTGATAGGTTCATACCTCCAACAACTAGAATATCCTTTTAACTTGATCAGGTGAGTAGGCCTTGAACAAAGCACCTGTTCCACCTCGATCCTTAACATCCTGCTTGCATAACCCTATGAACATGTATTGATTGTGTTCAATACTCAACATTCCAACTGTCGTTGATCATTTATTGTGCATTTAATGTTCTTGGCCTCTGGCTCCCCAAGTATTAATTGTTTTCCTGATTTGGGCATACACTTAAGAGGAGCATTTAAAGATTAGTAAGTGTTCGGGACCAGGTATTCACCAAATATTCAATGAAGTCCCCTAAGATTGGTCATAGTACATTTTTCTAAGCATTCTGACCTCTTGGGGGAATGGAACCATGTTTGCTGGTCACTTAGTACGAATTGTCAACTGACGTTCCTTCGATCACTCCCAAGTAGAGACATATCTTCCAAGGTCACTTTGATGGTCGAGCCCCCAAGGGTGTCTTCTCAGCTCTTGTTGTCAACATTAATCCGACCCCTCTGTCTTTGGGGGCTTAAGTGACCAAGGGGTAAACACTGAGTCAACACGGGTGCTCGCTGCTAACATGCCGAGGGATGCTAACTTGATCATTTTCCTTTACTCGATCTAAAAATATTCTCGCAAGTTGTTAAAAGCTTTTAGAGTCCCCTCTCGGGGCCGAGCTCAGTGACATATAACTATCATTCCCTTGACAAAATAGGGCAGTAAGTACCACGTGTCTGTGACTGTTTGGTGTTGACTAGTCCTGACAGACCACGTCCCGTCAAATGCCTTAGCCTTAATATTTGTATCGAATATGACACGTGTCGTGAAACCTCCCAAGAGCTTCATCTGAGTTGTTGTCGATGATACCTATAAGTCCTTCCTTCTCCCTTTTCTTTCTAGTTGTCTCTTTTCCTGTTCTCCTTTTCATTTAGTCTCATTCCTAGCATCTCCTACCGTTTATCGTATTCCCCTCATAGAAAATCCCCATGACTGGGATTAATAAAACAACAGCTTTAGTGACCATAGGATTGGGGGTGACGATAGACATAAGGAGTCTAGAATGAGGAAAACACAGGAGACAAAGGCCCAATTTATTGCCAAATTTAAGGCCAAGTACTTCATTTCCTTTAGGGTTATTGTAATCAAGTTCAACTCCCTCGCACACAAATTTTCTATGGGCTTAGTGGAGTTGATGCCCTTTTACACAAAAGCCACAATAGAAAGGGGAATCAGATTCCCTCTTCAGCATCTCCTCCTCCATTTCCTCATGCATTTTCGACTCTTCCTCAATCAATGTTGTCTCAATCCCTTCAAAATCATCATGGGAGTTGTAGCATTAAATGCTCAGCTCCAAATAAACCTCAGTCTGGAAGAGATTATCTTCTACTATACTCTCGCAAAGGCTCCTTCCAAGAAGTCTCAAATCCCAAGACCCCACTATATATGTAGTGATGCACCTGCCTGACTCTAATAAAGGATACACATAGGACTTGATCATGGTCGAGGGATGCTAGGAGAAAGGAGACGGACCCTAGTACTGTGGCTTGTGGTGTCCCAAACAATGGAGGCCCATAGGTAATGGAAATCTTTCCCAAGGCTGTTGACCTTATTTTAATCTTGTCAGACTTCTGTTTCGAGGCTGAACTTTACATTTTTTTTTGCAGCTATTGGGGATAATGAGGTTGCACAGCCTCCTCGTTGCAATGTGGATTTCAACACCATCGTCAAAGTTTGGGGATTTACTGGATCTGACAGATTTGGCCAGGCAGCTCACGTGTTTTTTAGATACGCTCCTGACTACAAAAAATTTTCTCAAGTTCTTGAGGACTTCAACCCATTGGAGTAAGGAGTAGACATTGAGCAGAACTGGGAACAAGATCTCGATTGTGTGAAAGAAGAGGAGGAGACTGATTAACCCTAAATAATGCATTAATGAATTTGGTTAATTGTGTTAAGGAATTAAGTTAAAATAGTCAAGATAATTGAAATTAGGGTTAATGCATTAAACTTGATATGTTTCAGGGTTTTGTGCAGAAATTATGCAAAGTCAAGGGGAGCAAAGTGTGCAAGCTACATCAGCAAAATGAGGCAATTGCAAATATTACCCAAAATTACAAAGCAACCAAGGAAGCAAACCAGAGGATTAGCACCTTCCAAATGGTGGCTAAACCGCCTCGCCTTCTCCTTCTTTCTCATTGGTCGAAAGTTGCAACAGAAAGACCCTGATTGGTCCACCCAAGTTCTACTACCTCAAGTGGCCTTTCCAGCTTCTATAAATAGTCAAATCAGCTTCATTTTCAACATTCTGCGCCAGAAAAAGTGGAGGGAAGTCTAGAGAGTCATAGCTTCACAAGAAAGTCCAAAGAGTCAGTGAGAAAGAGAGAGAGGGGGAGAGAAAACAGGGAAGCAGAGCCCTGGCGAACCACTTCCAGCTAGCTTTCCAGCAAGAATTTCTTTCTTCTACAATTATGTTATTCCTTTTTACTTGGGGGGTTAAACCTCTGCCACTTTTGTACCCTAATCGGTGATAAGAGTTGTAATGTTTCAACTATTCCTCAGGCAAGGATTGTCTTGTATTATGTTCTATTTGTAATGGGATAATTTTGCACCTCTTGCTAGTCTATAGCAATGAGGTGTGAGTAGTCCACTTATACCCTTCAATGAAGGGTGAACATATGAGTATTTTATGCATGATACAGTGATGTACTTGATTGGACTTTATGTAACAGCTGATAGATTGATTATAAACGGGTTAAGTCGGCATAGCCAGTGCATTTGATTCAGTGCATAAACCAGAATCTCATCATCAGTGAATCATCAACCTTCCAGTTGAATAACTATAGTATCCCTCCTAAATGGCTTGCTTTCTGGTTTACTACAGTTGTTTAACTGATGCATGGTACATAGATGCCAATTGAATAATTCAAGTATTCCTCCTAGATGGCTTGCATTCTAGTTTACTCGGATTATTTGATTGTTGCATGGAAATATACCAATATACATCATACCTACTAGTTGACTTTCTAGTAACATTGGGATTAATTGTTGTAAGGTGACATTTTCAATAATCAAAATAATATAATGCATGTGGAATCCCTGAACTTAAGGGTTCTTTTTTAATTATTGCATTTCCACAGTTTTAATTAAGTTTATTTTAATTGTCATAAGCTCACACCACAAGCTATTTCTTTGCATTTTGTATATGTAACAACTTCATCGTTTCTGCTTTGATTTCCAATATTTAACTCCCTATGGGTTCGACCTCGGACTTAAACCGAGAATTATATTACAATTTGACCACTTGCACTTGGGTGGACGACACTATTTTAGTGGCCAATCAGATACCTCCCGCGATGTCATTGAGCTTGATCCTGAGCCTACCACATCCAGTCGGGACATCTGGCTTGACTTTCACGCCCTTTGTTCCCTCGTCAAACTAGATGCCCTCAAAGTATCATGTCTCGTCGGCAGCGCATCTTCTTTTCTAGCGTGGAAGCTCTATCAGTGGCTAGGAACTCAAGCCATGGTGGTTCACCTCTCCAGTTGACTAGTGGAATGCCAAGAGCGCCTCTTCGCTAACAACCCTAACAAATTCCTCCAAGAATTCCCCCAACACCACCTGCTCAACTTGGTCAGGGTCAAGGGTTGGTCTAGCCTCAGAACGAACCTGAGCAAGAGTAGAGGGTGAATGTTAATCATGACATGGGATTGTTTCCCATCCTCAATCCCTCAGGAATGGCATCCTATGGCGTTTATGAAGAATGTCAAGACAATTCTGACCTCTGAATCCATTCTCGATTCTTTAGACGTGTCCTTCACCATCAATGGTACCCTTTTTTTGACAAATAGACTACTTCAAAGTGTAAGCCAAAACTCTTAAGTGGTGAGTACCTTAGTGTCTTGTCCTCTCAATTGTTTTTGATGCATCTAACTCTATTGCTACTACAGTTGGCTCAACAGATGTCGATCATCACTGATTATTTTTGGGCATATCGTCTGGCAAACAAGAAAGTCAGAAGGGACTGTGATCAGCTTAAGGAAGATGTTCCCTCTCGGGATAAGACCCTTAAGACTCAAGTCACGTAGATCACGCTACTTCTCAAGGATGACAAAGGGCTATCAAGTCAGCTTGATAAAAGTAAGGAGCTTGTTGCTCGGATCAAGAAGAAAATGATTGTGGTAGAGCTAAAAGTGTTCTTGGCCAAGGAGAAACTATTTGAGGCCAAAACGAATTGTGTCCTCATGACAAAGGAGGTCGTGAAACTACTGACCAACCTGGAGAAAGGGTCCAAAAGGGGGGACAAGATCGTGGTTGAGTGCCAGGAGGTTGTTCTGTCGGTCTTTGAGGAGATCAAGAAAAAAACCTTCAAAGAAGCATGGGGTGCCACCCTTAAGGCTACGGGGGTAACCCTTACCTATCCCCTCTTTCAACAACACAACTATACTCCTCTTCCCCTTGAGGTGGAGATAATATAAGGGGACACCAGAGCCACCGCCCTTCCCCCAGCACTTCAAATTTAGCCACCCGATCAAAGTTCTCCTACCCTTCCCCAAGTGAATCCACCTGCCCTTGGCAACGATGATGTTGTGCAGCTGAACCTAGTTAATCATCTCTAAGTAGAACGTAGGGGCCTATTGGAGCTTTACCCATTTTCCTTTCACTTCTCCCTTTTTTTTTCTATTCGAGGGACGTAAATCCCTCTTAATAAAATTTCTTTTGCCAATCCTTCTAAGTGTAAGTGTGCCAGGACATAGGGCCCTACTTGTAGGTGCTTCTTTCTCATGTTTTGTGTCCCTCAATGGGAAATATATTTCCCATGTATCTCTTCGGAATGAGGACTTCGTCATTTTATGATACACCTGTGCCAGTGCCATGCCCCTTAATAAAGAGTATCATCCCTATGGTTACATTGGGGGGACTTTAAAATGAAATCCACCCCAGGGTCGTGCCCGCCATTCGACAGAACAAGATTCGTTATAAAGAAAATGACTTCAATAATAATATTTCTTAAGATTTGTTACATTCCATGGTCTAGGCACAAAAGTTCCTCCCAGGTCTTCTATCCTATAGGGTCCTAACTTGTCTACTACTATAATCTAGTAAGGACCCTCCAAATTGGGTCCCAACTTGCCGTAAGCTATTTCTCATGTATTCCCGACCACTTTTCTTAAGACTAGGTCAGCTAGTTAGAATTTTTGGTGATGAACTTTCTTGCTGCATGACAACCAAAGGCTTGGCTCGTCCCTATGTCAAAGGTTTGGCTCTTGATGGTGGGGAGACTGATCTCAATAGGTATTTCCACTTTTACTCCATATGCCAAAGCGTATGGGGTTTCCTTGGTGGAAGACCGTAGGGTCATACGATAAACCCACGGGATGTTTAGTAGTTCATTGGTCCATCTCCCTTTCACTTTCTCCTACCTCTTCTTGATCCCTGTAACTATCATCTTGTTGGATGCTTCGACTTGTTCGTTGCACTAGGGGTAGGTGAGAGTCGAATAATAATTCCCAATTCTCAAATTTTCACAGCACAACTTGCAAGGCCCACTATTGAATTGTATTCCATAATTCAAAATAATGGCATAGCATATGCGTGAGGGGTTCTTCCTCCACCCACTTGTCTCGAAGAGGAGGAACATTTTGTTGGCCAGCGCCTTCGATATCAGCCCTACTCTATCGAGCCCCCACTGGGCTAACGGCTAGGGGCTGGTTAGTGGATTTAGGTCCTTGGTGGGTTATCTGATGATGGGCGCATGTCTCTGACACTTATCGCATTTTCAAACGTACTCATGGATGTCTCTCTGAATATATGGCCCCCAATATCGTTGTGACATTTCTCGATGAGCCATAGAACTATTGCCCGTGGGCCCCCCACATATGCCTTTATGGATCTCATATAGAAGGGGTTGGTTCTTTTCTTCGGGTACACAAAGCAGTTAAGGCCCAGAGAAGGATTTTTGATAGAGTTTCTAGTCGAGAGGGATCCAAAACCTTGGCGCCTTTAACTTGATCTTTTAGGCTTCCTTCTTGCATTCTAGTAGATCCTCGACCATAAGTTACTTGAAAATAGGATCTATCCAACTGGGGTCATGTACTTTCAAACTAACTAACAGTATCTTTGAGGATTTGCGGATACTCGAAGTCGAAAGATAATCCGCCGTGATCCATTTTGTCACCTCAAAGTTTTAGGCCAAAGATAGGTTGGACAAAGCGTCGGCATGTCAATTCTTATCTCAGGGGATTTGAATAACTTTCACCTTTTGAAACTTTCAAATAACGGTGGTCACGCTCTGGTGTTATGCCTTCATCTTAGGATTCAGAGTCTCAAACTCACTATTCACTTAGTTGACTGTCGTTTTGGGTTTGTAGTGGACATTGTACTCTCCTAGCTTGATGGCTCACTTGGCAATTCTCCAAATAGATAAGCTTTTTTTAGGATGGTTTTTAGTGGTTCATTGGTCAATACTATAGTCGGATAGGCTTGGAAATAGTGCCTTAGCTTTCTCATTGTAGTGATTAGTGCCAATGACATTTTTTCCAATGGCAGGTATCACATCTCTAGATCCAACAGTGCTTTGTGGACACAGTAGATGGGTTTCTATTTGGACTCATGTTCTCAAACCAGAGCCCCACTGACTGCGAATTCTAAGACTGGCAAATATAGATAAAAGGTTTCCCCATTTCACCTAGACAAAAAGGGTGGTAGAGATACTGAGATACTCCTTTATCCTGAGAAAAGCCTTGTCACATTCATCGTCGCATACACCATTCCATACCATTTTAAGGGCACTAAAGAAGGGCTTGCAATTGTTCGAGTAACGAAAAATAAAGTGGTTAAGCATGACAAGCATCCCCATCAGATTTTGTACGTACTTAACCGTTCTTGGTCTTGCAATGTTTAGGATGGCCTGTATTTACTCTGGATTGGCTTTTATGTCATACTGAACAATTATCCAAGGAATTTCCCTAAACTAATTTTGAATGAACACATGGCCGCATTCAACTTCATCCCGTACTCTCGAAGTGTTTGGAAAGTGGCTTCCAAATCTTTCAAGTGCTCCAATCGATGTCTGCTCTTGACGAGCATGTTATCAATGTTAACTTACAAGGTCGTTCCTATCTATTACTTGAACATCCTATTCATCAACCTTTGGTAGGTTGCCTCTGCATTCTTTAAGTAGAATGACATGAATTTGTAACAGAATCCCTTGGGGGGGTGATGAATGCCATTTTTTCCTGGTCAGAAGGGTGCAATAGGATTTGATGATACCCTATCTGAGCGTCCATGAATGTCATGTGCTTGAGCTCCGCTATCGCGTCAACTAGCCAATCCATCTTTGGGAGTGGGTAGTGGACAAGCCTTGTTGAGATTCATGAAATTGACACAAACGCTTCATTTCCCATTCTTGTTTCTTGCACACACTTTGTTTGATAGCCATTAGGGTAATTTTACTTCCCGAATTGTGTCAGCTTTGAAAAGACGATCTACCTCCTCATTTACAGCTTGCACATGGTGCATAGCCGAACGAGATGGTTTCTGTTTGATAGGTTTGAAGTTTGGATCTACGTGTAGTTGGTGATTGATAATTTGTGGGTCTATGTCGTTCATTTCAGAAGGGACCCATGAAAATAAATCCATGTTCTACTATAGGAAAGCTATCATATCTCTTTGTTCTTCTAGGGTTGTCAAGGATCCAATCAGGAAGAACCTATCCTTAGCGTCTAGATACAAGAACACTGTCCTCAGGTCCTCAATCGAGCGGTCGATTTGAGGCTTGTTGATGCCCCCACCACTCGAACTTTGATTGTTATTTATTCAGGATAGCCTCAGGATCGGGCTTCTTCTCCTTTGTGGCAACCCATACCTATACTACGATGAAGAAGTAGCTCTTCAACAAGTCCTAATCCCCAAAGGTCTCCATAACCCCCTCCGGGGTTAGGAATTTTATCTTTGGATGGTAGGACAAATACAATGCCTTTAGCGCATGTAACCACACCTGGCCCATGATCGCGTTATATGTAGAATCAAGTTGATGATCACGAATTTCGTTTGGAGACTAATTGTCCCCATTGTGATTGGTAGGTGGGAGGGCATACAACCCATTGAAATTGCCAAGGAGGGTCTACATAGGAGTGAGGTCTTTGGGACCGTGCCCCATCTCGGGTAACATGTTCTAGTACATGACCTAAAAGGAGCTTCCTAAGTTGATCAAGATGCGCCTAATGTTAAAGTTAGATATTTGGAGAATGATGATCAGTATGTTATCGTGTGGAAACACTGCCCGAGCAAGATGGGCATCCAAGAAGGTGATACTGTGTGCCTCGGTCTAGGCTTTCTTAGTTGGCCGTACTTCCATCTTGAATTCCTCCACTTTTTGAGTGAGGGCAACTCTCCTTAGATTAGCACAGAGCATGTTGGAAGTTGGTTGCTCCAAAGGGAAAGCATGGATGATGTCTATCACTGTTGTGGCGTTTCCCATACTCTCCACCGCTTAGCCCTCCTCCTTGGAGGCTTCGACGTCAATAAATTCATCGAGATGTCGCTCCTTCACAAGCCTTTTTAGGAAAGACTTATAGACTCGACAGTTTTCTGTAAGATACCTCGTGTTAGGGGCGGAGCTAAGTTAGGAATAGGGGGTATTTTCCCCCCTCACTTTTGGATCACTTCTGATGAGGACCCCATAATATTATTTAATGTACTACATTTCCCCCTTCCCCTAAATTTTAAAAATTTACATAATGGTACTAGTCTCTTTTTTTCCAATAAATTAGTTGTTCATTAGCCCCCTAAAATAAATGTTTTACTTTTGGATTGAGTAAATTAGATGTAAATGTCATGATCTATTTATATATATTGAAAAAAATATAATAATTCTTATATTTTAAAAATAATTTTGTGGCTATCATTTATTATTTTTTGATTTATTTGTAGTCTATATACCTAATAAAACATGATTGGATGCAAAAGTTACATCTTATAACCCAAAAGCATTTTATGCTATGTTAAATATGTCATTTCTTGATAAGATAGAGAATGATTTCAACTATATTTCGCAACTATATAAAGAATAATTTTATTATAGACTCTGTGATTGTACGCATTGGTAGAAAATTAGTGAGAAATCTAGATTACAATTAATCAATAACAATGTTTTTAGAAATTTTAAAGAATATTGTATTTCACTATAATACATGATTAAGTTACTATCTCAAATCTTAGTCTATTTTTCAATCTGGCACTCATTTTATTTCGATATCAACCAATGAATTATTTTTAGTTATATTTTGGCACCATCATTCTCATTCCTAGCTCATCTCTTGCCCAGTGTCCCTGTGATAGGAGCATTGAGCATTTCGATTCCTTGACACTTGATCCCCCTGCATCTTGGCTGGCCATTTGAAGA